TTCATACATGATTCATGTATACGTGAATTGTCCGCCCAGTCAACCAGATAACACTGTCTTATCTATCAAATGCTTAGATATAAACTATCTTTCAATATCTACTATAGCTTGCTCTGCTGTATTACTTAATTTTAACGTTACTCATTTCCAACATTTAACTTGCAATTCCGACAAATTTCCCGACCTATACATGTAAAGAGAAACATTGATCCTATTTCTGAAATATTCTTATCGTAGTTTGTGACCAAGACCATTCGCGTTCGATTTATTCTAAAATTTTACCACATGTTCGAATATTTTTCTGAGAAAGAGAGCGTGTAACTTGAACTTTCTCCAAGAACAATGCTATTGAAAAGTAACGATAAAGAGATAGCAGGCAGATTGCACGCATTTAAAAGTTATTAATTCAATTTACTGCGTACATTTAAAAAATAGATCTTCGGATACTAAAATATGTTGCTAATTTCAATGAAACATCGGCAAATGTCAGTAAAATGTGTAATCCATATTTCCTCGGATTGCAATACGTACACGTATTATGATCGGTAGTCTCTTCCAAATCATCCTCGTACTCTTGTAGCAAATCCTGTCGATCGTGGTTGGTAACTGTGTCGTTCAACGGGCTTGTCACAGGATTCTCAGACACTATGCTTTCGTCCTTCATCTCTTCCTCCACCACTTGACTGCTGTTCATCAGGAACACGCACTTCAAGATATTACGCAGATCCGATGCGAAATTCGTCTGCAATTGATCTGCCACACCGGCTATGCAAACGAACAGACGATGAACGAGATCCTCGGATGATCTGAAAAAAAAAAAAGAAAGGATCATTATCAGGAAATGATCGACTAGTTGAAATTTAATTCAATTGCATCACGAAACGCAATATTGTGCAAGTGGCATCTGTTTTACATCGCCAAACATTGTAATCCACGGACAACGATTAAGAACTTTGACTTGTAATCAGTTTCTGACAATTTAATAATTCATTGTACAGTGGAATGTTTTATAAAGGTCTTGCAACGAAAAGTTTTTTCTCGTTAAATACAATCCTCCTCCTTTTCACAATCTTTTCACAAATTTATACGTGTGCGTATAATAAATTAAATTCATCAGAGTATAATATATTTAAAAAAAACATTTTACATCTATGTTTCATATTAAGAATGCAGTATCATATTAAGTATGTATCATCTTATTAATATGCATACATACACTGAATGTATACTAAATAATAAACAAAAATCCAAAAATTAGTTTGTTACAAGATACCGCGCCATAATCAATTAGTGTTATATTAACAAGTTAGAAAAAAAAATAAATAAATGATTTGATATGTACATCGTGGTGCAATTTCAGTCGTGATGCAAATGAGTATATGCGATGTATAGTAAAATAGTAGTGTAAAAATACTAACAAGCCACGAAACGAAAGGGAACAAGAAATTTTACCGAAATTTCGCTCGGATCTTATAATTGTTCGCAATCTCGGCAGCCTGCATGGCCAGAGCTATCTCCTCGTCGTCCTGGCAATCGCTCTGAAACTCGCTGGTCTCCGAACTCGAGTCGCAGCAGCTCGAACAGCTCGAGCTGGACGCAACGTCCGGCTTGTGGACCAACGTGCGATCCGAACCGATCGACTGCGTCCCTTGAACCGTGGACGCGTTCACCAGTCTCACAGCTCGCGTCGTCGTCCTCTGCGAGTTATTGTCTCTCTGCGTCCCGTACGACGGGTCCTGCGTAGCGTGAACCGGCGAGATCAACTCGCTCGCCAGGCCACTCTTGTCCGTTCTTGGTCCCAAACCATCGTTCAGAAGTTCGCTAGGACTTCTGCTTCCGAACTTCCTCTTGGTCTGTTCTGGTCTAGGATTAGCTCGCTCGTGCCTGTCCTTCCTCTCGAAGTCTCTCCTCTTCATCCGGATGATCTGCTCCGACCTGGACCTCCTGTGATCGAGAAGCTTCCTGTTTTGCGGGGACAAGTTTCTCTGAGCTTTGGACGCGACGCTGCACGTTCTCTGGCCGGATCCCGGCGTGCTGCGTGTTTCGAAGTGCTGCAATCGGGGACTGGCGCGGGGGCTGTGACTCCCGAAATTCGGCATCTGCCTGGTGTTCTGGCTCGGGTGCAAACTGGCCCCGTAGCTGATCAGTCTAGGATTCAAGCAACGATCCATCGAGTTCGATCTGGAGCTCTCCGTGCTCGCCGACGAGCGAACGTTGTGAAAGTTCTGCGCGGCGTGCAGCTTCTGACCGTTTCTCTCGTGCTTGCGCTGGTGTCGCCGTTTCTGCTTCTCGTCCTTCGTCTTCTTCGACGTCGCGATCTTGTCCTGAGCGTACTGCTCGATCTTCGTGCCGATCTTCTCCATGTTCTGCGACGTGGACGGACAGTTCTCGCACTTGAGATCGCTCCAGAACTCCTTCCTCGAGGTGGACGCGTCGATGCTCAAGTTCAGATTCTCCCAGTTCTCCGTGTAGTTGATCTGAAAGCTGGACTGATTCGAGTCGCAGACGGAGATCTGCCCGTTACCGTACGCGACGCCGACGAACTCCTCGTTCGTCCCGTCGAAGTTCGACGATATCCGCGGAATGTGTTTCACGTTCGCCTCGTTGTTCGCCGCGTGCAGGTTGTGCACCTCGATCGAATGATCCAACGACGCGACCGTCTTCACGCTTCTCAGGCTGCAGACGCACGAGTTGTCCGATATCGTCGAGCTCTTCCTCTTCGGCGAGTTCAAGTTCGAGCAAGAGTAACTCGTGTTCTCTTGCGTGTCCTCGTCGTCCAGGCAGTGCCTCTCCTGCTGGATCTCGTTCGCGAACGTCTTCTTCTCCTCGGGGCTCTTGTCGTACAGGCTCGTGTTCTCCGACGAGATCACCGTGCAGATCCCCGAGTCGGTCTGCTCGGAGATCTCGTTCTGGCACTCGCCGTCGAGCAACAAGTTCGACAACGTTTTGTTCGCTTCGGAGATCAGCTTCTTCGAGTCCAGGTCGGGCAACGAGTTCTGAATGTGCACCGTCTCGCCGGTCACGTTGTTCTCGTGCGAGACCTGGTTCAGCAGGTACTGCGTCTGAGGGATCTCGATGTTGTCCGAGCTACCGAGTATCTCGCTGATGTCCGACGTGATGAACTCATCCTGCTGCTGCTTACC